CCCGCCTCGGCCTCCCAGAGTGCTAGGATTATAGGAGTGAGCCACCGCGCCCGGCCTCCATACCTTAATTATAATACATAACACTCTATCTCCTAGTGTTATGAGGATGAAAATGGATAACATATGTAAAATACCTGGGACATTATGAATGTTGGATAAATGTCTGCTTTTATAAACTGATGCTGATTTTTTTTTTTAAAATCACTTTCTACATTAATTGACTTTTTTATTTCTCAGAGAAACATTCCAAATGGGTCAGCAGTCGAAGGGAGATTTAATCGCAGAATCGAAGGGCTCAGAGTTGGAAGGAACCTCCAAATTTCAAGTCAAACCCCGTCTGACTCCTGGCGTGGACGGGGAGAGGTGACAGGGTCTGAGGGGTGAGAATCTGCCCCAGGCTCCCTAACTAGCTGGTGGAAGAACAGGAGCGAGGGAAGGGCTTCTACACGACTGATGATACTCTCCTGGAAATCCATTCTAAGCAGTGTCAGAGAATAAGGGGACAAAACCTATTTAATTGTCCTTTGTTAAAATAAATTTTACATTTACCATTACTCTATTTTTCTCTATCAGTAAACTGGTAGCTCACATATTTCAGGAAAAGATCTATGGAAACTGGTTTGGGATGAGAATGAAATACTTTTAATCTGGCAGGAATAGAGGTGGCTTGTGATCGTGTATTTATGTCAGACCTTCTTCCTACCTTGATTGCAGGTTTTTCCAGCATAGCCAGGATGACATTTGCACTTATTTGGCCCGATACAATCGCCGTGTTTGCACCGCGCTTGGCATATAGCTGTAAAGAAAGGATATCGTGCGTTATCTCCAGGTGGGCAGAACGCCAGCCGTATAGCACTGATGTCATGTGCTAGCCTGACAGTAAGAGGAAAAAAATTACGATTTACAACAACGTAGCAGGAGTATACAAAAATCACTGTTTCTTATAGTCACTGTCTGCACTATACACACATACACGTTACATATGTGTGCGTGTGTGCATATGTGTATGTACCGCTCAGAGCTGAAAAACTTTCTACACTTGAGGACAATAATCAAACAGTCCAAAAAAAGAAAAAAATGGGTAAAATTATGCATCAACATAACAGATATTTATATATAGCTATAAATTTACAATAACTTGCACCAATAATTTCAAAGTCACTCCCCGATACACTAAGTATTTTTTCACCCAAAGATACTGGGTATGTATGAAATCC